CAGAGAACCCCAAGGACTCCTCAGTTCAACCCTGAGTAACATGTATTCTCTTCTATTGATTTCGTTATATGTTTAATTCTTTTTAACCTTAGGTTAACTCTAATGTGGCGACTCTTGTATGAACATGTGATTTGGTATTGGGCACAGTTAAGCGGAAAAGTAAATAACTCAAATAAGTCAATAACTGAAATCCAAATTGCTCATGAAGCTCCAGTGACCAAAGCACTTGCAAGTCATATACAGGCAATCTTACAGTCTTCAGGAGAAAGTCTGGAACAACTTCTGAATCTCAAGTCTGTGAATGGTTAGTGTCTTGAAGAAACCACCATTACTTTATATACCTATGTATTAGCATATGCATGTGAATCTGAAATAGATCCACTACCCCCTGCAACACTAATAGCTGACACAATTTAAAGGATTGATTTGACCTTAAGTTCTTCATTCAGTGTGATGAGATATTCAACAATGGGTTAACATTCCCAAGTCTCTATTTTGAGAAGCAAAGTGGATTCCTGACAATACCCACAGTGAACTTATTCATACAGATAAATCTTTCCTAATAAGTGTCAATTTAATCTACGTGAGAACATATTAATTCATTGTTGTTGATCTCATGCAAACTAGTCTGAACTTTAAGATTAGTTTAAATGCTAGATTGCAATTTGTTTTTAAGGTGAGGAAGAGTTTCTGATGGGATCTTATAAAGAATCCGTGGAGGCCTGGGAGAGAGCTTTTCAGGAAACAAAAGCCAAAGGTAAGGTACTAGTTCTGTTTTTAAGGCTAATCCTTCCTGTAAAAATTATTTGTTTAAAGAGATATGGGCAATCTTTTTTCTGACATCAGCTGCAGTCCTTCAAAGGTAGTCTCTTTGAAGCGGCATGGTAGGTAAGGCTGAAGAAAGCAGTGAATGGGGTCAGAGCCAAAAGTAGTTGAGGAACTATGTCCTAACTCTGATATGCTTTTTTACACTTTATGATCTCCCTCTTTTTCTTGATGGCTGTTTCTATCCCAAGCAGCAGAGGCTGTAAGGAAGGTAGCTCTTAAGACTTCCAGAGGGCATTTGAAATTGGGCAAAGGAGTAGAGGTGGTCCTTCCCTAATTTAAAGTTTTTAATACCTTTCTCTTCACCTTGGAAGTATATATAGCAGCTCAGTGATAGTAAATCAGTACAGTCCTTTCTGTTTATAATCTAAAAATATATTGCACAAAAGGAAAAAGGGAGAAGAAAGGGAAAGGAACATGGAAAAATGTAAACCTTAGTTCTTACCTACTCATTGTAACTTTGATGTAGTATCAGAATGCCTGCACTGCTGCCAGAAATCATTTGTTGCTTTATCAAAGAGGAACCAAAAGTGGCTGGCCTCTAACCTGAGCCAGTGTTCCTTTTTTCCAGTCTGTGTTGTAGTGGAGTTGAATGACTGGTAAAGAGAGAAAGCCTGAGTATGAGCCAAGTTTTAGTGCTCATTCCATTTGCTCTTCGTAATAAAGTTAATAACATATGTAACTAACACCTTCAGCTAGAAGAAGTTTATTATTAGTAACAATGTGGAACTGACTAAAGTGCGAAACATTAAAATAGCAAGTAAAAGAAATTGTTTGCCAGCCAATTGAACTATTTCAATGCAATCTACTTTTCAGATAAATATTTAGGATTTTGATTGGTTCGGGTAAAAATAGACAGTCCTCTACTTACAAACAGGTTAGGTTCCAAAAGGCTGTTCATAAGTCCATTTTGTTCATAAGTCCAACCAAGTATAAAAAACATGCCTCCCATGCTGCCAAGCATACATATGTGGCACACCATAAACTAACCCTTTCCCGCCTTCTCCTGCCCTCTGGGACCTTCTAGGTTGGAGTTATAGACAGGTTTGTTTGTGTCAGTGAAAGTTTGTAACTTGAAAGTTTGTAAGTAGAAGACTGTCTGTATAGAGTTTTATTTCTTGTGTTGCCAAAATTTTTTGTTAATCCGTTCCATCCCATACTGTTTCCACAATGCAGTCCTTCTCAACTGTTGAATTTTTATCTATCAAAACAGTATTCAAAATGTAGCCCTTTCACTGGGCGAAAGACTGGCTGAAATGATTCCTGCTCAAATAGGTTTTCAATCCATACATATTTTATAATCATAGAATGAGAGAATTGGAAGGGGCTATTTAGGTCATTGAGTTGAACCCTCTTTCAATGAAGGAATCCAAATTAAAGCATCCAAAATAGATGTGCTGGTATTCTAATTAAATCATATGAAGTGGATGTTCAACATCTCCTTGACCACATCTAGTAAAAATTTTGTACCTGAGTAATTATTTTATTATTGAACTAACATTTAGCTGGAATCTGTCTTCTGTAACTTTATTTTTTCAAATCTTTGCTGACCTCTTGTAATTTCAAGATGCTTACAGACTGATGACTTTATGACCTGCTCTAGATGTCCTTCTTTTCCCTGTTTTAGAAGATAGGGACAATAGTTGTCTGGCACTTTTCTTCAGGATTTTTTGAAAATGATACAGGTAGTCCTTGTTGAATGACCACTCATTCAGTGACCGTTCAAAGTTATGATGGTACTGAATGAGGGGGACATACAATGGGTCCTCATAGTTGTGGCTATTGCAGCATCCTCACAGTCACGTGATCACAATTTGGGCACTTGGCAACCACCTCGCAATTATAATGTCATAGCATCCCACAGTCACATGAAACAAAGTCAATGGGGAAGCTGCCCAAAGGTTGCAAATGGTGATCATGTGACTGTGGGACACTGCAACCACACGAGATTCTCCTAACAACGGCAACTGAACTGCCGCAATTGCCTTCATAGGTTGGTGTGGTCATGTTCAAGTTTCAGTCTGATCCTTTCATCCTGTTACTGTTCCACAATTGCATGGTGGGACATAACCTTTCTTCTTGGCCTGCATCCAGCATAGTGAGGCAAGATAAAAATATACAAATTGTCAGTGTGGTGTAGTTCAGCAAATAATCTTACAGCATGTAGACCTTAAGTACCTTATGCGTAATATTGCCTGCACTATCATCTGCTTGAATTCCCTGCTGTCCCCTCACTTTCATACCATCACTGCAGCAGTTGTTCTGTGTCCTCTTCTACCAAATAGTTGTATGCCTGTAACCTGCCACACCATGTCCTCTGTAACCTGTTTGTTTCATACTCTGCCTATATATCCTCTTATAGTAGTAATTCTGTTGCTTGGAGAGAAGGTTAGAGCTCCACTGCAGCATTCCTATCCTAAACGGGATTGGGATTGCATGGGGAAAAGTCTGGGAGAAAGATTGTATCAAACAGAAATAAAGGTAATATGTGTGCATGCCTGAATGGGAGGTTCCTAAAACTGCCCCATACCTACCTTACTGGGTTTATGCAGACACAGAGAATCTAGTAATATGGCATTTGGGGCAGCTAAGAAAAAGACAGAAATAGAAACAAGATAATTAAAAGTGTTAAAAGTTAGTTTAATAGTTGCACACTGTATCACACTGGGATTCCAAAGAGTTTGCCTATCCTAATTTCTCTTTGCTATAATGCTGAAACTGAACAATTGTTCAGCTAATCTTACTTGAATTACTGTTTACTCAGAAATTATTCAAATGACATGTATTCCAGTATAATAATTGTATTTACATCATGTATTCTTATTTTCATTTATGATCTAAAAAATAGATTTGCACTCATATATGCTTAGGGTCTTTTTTTTTATTACTACTACTACTATTATTATTATTATTATTATACAATTAGGATTTATGTATTTAGGTTTTGTCCTATTATTTTTCTTTCTACGTACAGGAGGAAAGAGAATGCCTTTTCTTCAAACTCGATATTATCTTGCTATTTTATATTGCCATCTGTATCATTATAATATAAGTGAGGCTCAGGGTCTGTGTGATCATCTGGTATGTGAGCTTCTAAAACGAACACAAATTTCTGTAAGAAACCAAGATGTTTTGACAGGTATGTAAATATGGAATCCTTATTTTATCAACCAAGTTACGTACAGTAATACAAGTAATTCTCAGTTAACAACCGTAATTGGAACTGGCAACTCAGTCGTTAAGCATCGTGGTTGTAAAGCAAAACAATCACGTGACCATGCCAACTTACTCTGGCAGTTCCAGTTACTATCATTAAGCACAGTGTCATGTGGCTGTGAGTTGCAACTTCCTGCCAGCTTCCCCATTGACGTTGCTTGTCGGAAGCTGGCAGTGAAGGTCATAAATGGCGATCATGTGACCAGGCGACGCTGCAACCATCATAATTGTGTGCCAGTTGCCAAGCACCCAAATCACAATCACATGACTGCAGTGACACCACATTGGCTGCAACTTCGAGGAGCATCCCTCAGCAAATGTGCCTTAAGAATACAGTGTCTTCAAAACTGAATAGCTATTATCTCATGTTAACTATCAGCGCACCCGCTACATCTCATTTCTCTCTGAACTACACTTATTGTCCTGCATCAAAACAAGGTGTTTCAAATTTAAAATCGTTCAATTCAAAACATTTTACACATCAATATTTGGGGACTCAGTGTAGTCCTATCCTAGCAGGGACCGCCCTCCCACCCTGATGGCATTCCAGAGGGCCTTAACCTTAAATTTAAGTTCTCACATCTTGGTTAGGGTGGTGGAGCCCCTTGTGGGATGTATATTTTATGGTGGTGTTGGGTGAATTCATCATCTTGTATTTTATTTTTACTTGTTCTTAGTTTGTTCCTTATCATCATGTATCTATTTTGTTTGTTCTGTTGTGAGCTGTCCAGAGTCATTCTGGAGTTGAGCAGCGCCTACATCAAATAAAGTTGTTGTTGTTGTTGTTATTTCTACTGAGAGGTAAACTCAATTAAGATCAATAAGGCTTAGACCTAGATTAGTATGAGTAAGGTTTCAGTCTTTGGCTTTTGTTTCTGAAAAGCCAAGGAATGCTTATACTCTGAGTAGTGATAACTTTATTTTGAGTTTTTGACTTCTTTCAATTACCCCAGACTTTTTGAATTTTCATTTTAGATGCTGAATGGTTAAAAGATATTCACACTGAAGCTGCTCTGGCAGTGGTTCAGTCTTTAGCACGATTCATGGCAGCCTACTTCACTAATGAGCCAATTTATGTACTTCCTCCCCACAATGTTGGTATCTTACCTCCACTTCATATCCAGCCAGGTAGCCTTTTAATATTGTTTCTTATTCTTGCTTACTATTATACTAACAAAAAACATTTCAAAGCTTTGTTGAGAAGTGTTCTCCTTCTCCATCCTGCCCCATAGAAACCCACAAACCTTATTTACAACATTGGGTATTATTTTGTAGTAATTTCCTACCATATCATTTATCTAATTTAGTTAATTTAGCCACTACTCCTTCTCTCTTTTCAGTAAACTAATGGCATAATACTTCTCTCTTTCCCTTCTCTTAAGTGAAGTATGTTTTTCCTATAAAGTGCACCCAGTATGACAAGTCTTGTTCCTGCCCAAGTGAAAATTGTAGCTACTGGTCTAAATTGCTGGGACAGAAGCAGGAAGTTGGTGGGGAGGAAGAGTTACATCTGCTGCAAATGATATACTGTTCTGATGGCTGAGTTCAACTTACCTGAAAACAGGCTCAGAACTCAGTTGGTCTTACTTTTAAGTAAGCTTGCATAGGATTGACCATAGAACAATTAAATACCAAATAAACTCATGACTTAACTACCTTTTTTTATTATAGACAGGTGTCGTCGTGTTATTCCTCTACAGCACTCTAGAGTCACTGAAGCAGTTAGGAATAATGGCCTGTCTTGTGTCTGGACTGTAGAATATACTCTTGATTTGTTGCTTGTCGGTGGGCTAATTCCAGAAGCTGTGTGGCTAGCCCAGAAACTTGGAGATTGGAAAATGGCTGTTTCAATTGGAGTGGCCTATCATCTATATTGTCAGAGTAATAAAGGCTTAGCAAGGTGAGTCACATATATAAGCAGTTAATTTATAGTTATTAATTATGAATATTTATCATGAATAGATATCATCATCATCATCTTGAATCAATCCATTGTTGGATAAAGGCCTCCATTTGAAGGTTGGTTATCTATCTATCTATCTATCTATCTATCTATCTATCTATCTATCTATCTATCTATCTATCTAATAGATGATCCAGGGCAGGTTGGTAGGTAGATATTTTTTGATTTAGCAGCCTAGTACAGAAAGAGAAAGAGCAGACAAAATCATCCATCCAGCTTCTATGCTTAAGGGATGACTAGAGCCTGGGTTTCTTGCTCCTGGTCCAGCACCCTAACCACTACGCCACACAGGTTCTCAGATTGATTGATTGATTGATTGATTGATTGATTGATTGATTGAATGATTGATTGATTGCTGGTGTGGGTCTTCCGGGCTGCGTGGCCGTGTTCTTGAGGTTTTGTTTCCTAACGTTTCGCCAGCACCTGTGACCG